AAATATTCTAAATTTAGAATTAGAAATTATTTATAAATGGCTGTGTGATAATAATATGTGTCTTAACCTAAGTAAAACCAAATATATGTGTATTGCATCTAGTCGTAAAATTGGGAATGTTGATTTTAATAAAGTAAACCTGGTAATTAATAATATAAAAATTGAAAAAGTAGATAAAATAAAATATCTGGGTATTATATTAGACTCGAATTTAAACTTTAAAAACCATATTGAATATTTGTTAAATAAAATTTCAAAAAAAGTATATTTTCTTGGTAGAATTGGGAAAAATTTATCGTTGCAAGTAAAATTATTGTTATATAAAGCCATTATAGCTCCACATTTTGATTATTGTTCCACTGTATTGTTCTGTATAAATAATAATGAAATGCAAAAATTACAAAAACTTCAAAATAAAGCATTGAGAATTATTTTAAAATGTAACAGGTATACACCAATCGAAATGATGCTTGACGTATTAAGTTTGTTAAGTGTAAAACAATATGTGGTTTTTAAAACACTATTATTTATATTTAAAGTTAAAATTGGAATTCTACCTATTTATTTAAATGACAAATTAATTTTGGTACAAACCATCCATAATTACAATACTAGGAGTAATAATGATTTTTATGTTGAAACGTATGACAGGGTACAAACAACAAAAAATGTTTTTGTTAATGGATTAATATTATTTAATAGTCTTCCAAGTGATATAAAAAATTGTAATAACATTAAAATATTTAAGAAACTTGTAATTAAACATGTCAAAGAAAACTTTTTACTGTGATAGTTTGACTTTGTGATTTTTTTTTATATATGACATTTTTTTTTTGTAATGTAAATAGCTTATGCTAATAAATGGTTTATTTATTTATTTATTATTAAGTTATCACTAGTGCGCAATATAAATGTAATTTATGTAACATTATCCTAACCACTCAAACAAAAACGAATCCCCAAATGGCATTGGCAAAGGCATGTTATTGAGACATTTAACAGCCGGGAATTATTTTTGAATTTTGATTCTTGGTGATTTTGGTTTCATCTAAAACTTAAATTTGACAACTGAATCACATCAGGAGGTCAAAATTATAAAGCAAACATGTCACAAACGTAAATATCGGTTCAGGTTTAGTTTTCGCAAATTTTCTCCAAAGTGTCATTTTGAAAAAGTGGTCTTTGCTTAGGTTCCTCTGAAATTAATGGAAGTTTGTTGCTTGTCGCTTGTTCAGAATTATTTAAGGAACAATCTTTCACCATCTTATCTTTTTTATCTTAAAAAGGCTCAGTGTATTGCCTACAAAAAAGCATCAAATGTACTCTTTTGAAAAAAAAAATCATATTTTTGTTGCTAAGATTCCAATTCGAAAAATTTGAAAAACGTTTCAAGGTAAGACATAATACTTCATTATTTCAAAGTAAAAACGAGAAAAAAATCCCCCCTTCGGAGGGGACTTTAAGCCGTCGGTCCGTTCCTACCCCTAACCCGCACAAGCCATTCAGTTGGCTTATGGGACATCTTAGTTTGGATGTAAGGGTGGAACTAAAAAAAAAGAACACTTTAAAAAAGAACACTTTATATTATGGTGTCTTATAAAGTTTTCGCTCTCCTTAAGGGGCGTAGTGTAGGTTCCCATTATGGGGGTCAATTTTTATTAAAATTCCGATTTTTTCGACTTTTAAACCTTAAAATATGAACGAATACGTTATATTGATTGCATAATTTTTTTAAAATAAATTCGTATGAAGATCAATGGCGTAGCTGAAGCACTTATAGTAGTGGTAAATTTAATTTACAAAGTATACCATTTCGTGGTGGTATTTATCTCTCATTTAATATTAATCCTAGTAACATTCTCCTTTTTGTAGTTAGTCAAAGTCACTTTACTACTACAAAAGTAAAATAAAAGTGAGATAATTTTTTTTAGTGTCCAGTTTCCCTAAATTTTTTCACCAGGTTACTGGCGTATTGATGGCCTACATTTTTTTCTGGACGCCTTTCATTAAAAACGCGTGCGGAGCAAATGAATAAAATCCCAAAATAAAAAAAAATCGGTTTTTTCCACTAAAGTATACACCATTTTTCGGGTAGTTTGATATATCAATACAAATATATATATATATATATATATATATTTATATATATATATATATATATATATATATATATATGTATATATATATAATATATATATATTATATATATATATATATATATTTTTTTTTTTAACTACAATTATGCTAAAGGTAAATTGAGTAGTTTTTGTACATAAATTTTTTATGGAATTCTTTGTTTAATTAATGTCGCCCATTTTTTGGCTTTAACTCGCGAATTCGTGATCGGATTTTTTTTAACTTTAATGGATCATAAATTGCATTTCCTTTAAAATATGCCGCAAGGTGCCATATTATTCGTACGTAAACTGGAGGTAAGAGGGTGCAACATAAAATTTATTTAACACTGGATTTGTACTTCTTTCTTGATATCTTAATCGACCTATTTTTGCTTAAGATCATATTTACCATAACTCAAAAGTTATTAAGGGTGGTCAGGTGTTAATTAAAATACCTGTATAATATGATTTATTATTATATAATAAAAATGCATTTTTTTTTCAAGGATATTTTAAATTAAAAAATATTTTTAACTTTTTAATTTTCAAGATGACAAATGCTTTTTTGACTAAAAATCGAATAAAGATAATTTTTATTTTTTTTTACTTTCATACTTTAATATGTAGTTAAATACACACAGCAATTAATAGCACAAATTAGGCTGCAGTAAAACTTAAAGAAATCGTTTATAAAATGAAATTGGTCCATTTCTAAAAAGACGTGTAAGAATTTAAAAATGTGTATCATAGTTATCATAAATATAAATAAGCACGAGCAAAGTATAGAAATGCAAAAGTTTTTTATTATATTATGTAGGACTTTGTTCTGTTCCTTTATCCCTTTGTGACAAAAACCTCTCAAATCAATTTCTAGTCAATATGGACACGTTAGAAACGAGTATTATGAAGTAAAATAAGGGTTTTTGCTTTGATGCCAAACGACAACTTAAAGGCGAAGGGAATTTTCGCCTTTTTTCATATTATTTATTCCGTTTGTTCATATATCCCAATGTTATTGTGATTCTTTTTTATTTTATATTTTTTTATAATTCAATATTGTTATTTGAATTTGGTCCGGAGTTTTTTGGTTAAGTTTATAAAAATATTATTTAAATCTACTTTTTCCATGTTATTTTTAAGAAACAAAATTATAAGAACGTGTTAAATATTATACGAGGTGTGTTCAGAAAATATCGTGAATTTTCATTTTTTGAAACAGATATTTATTTATTCTTGGATATTATGCACATGTGCCAGCTCTTCCAATACTCGAAACACTTCTAAAACTCGATCTTTGGGATAGCCTTTAATTCTTTCAGCGATGCGCTTTTAATGTCATGTATGCTTGCAAAACGACGGCCCTTTCAGGTTCTCTTTATTTTTGGGAATATGAAAAAGTCAGACAGAGGCATGTCTGGCGAATATGGAGGCTGGGGCATCATTATAGTATTGTTTTTGGCCAAAAATTTTGTTCAAAATTAAACAATTTTAGAACAAATTTTGCTGCCACGCGTTTCATACCCAAATATTCGAAAAAATTTCATGGGATGAGCCAATCGATATACCAACATCATCAGCGACTTCTCTGATGGTTTATAACCATTTCTTCCACTTTTTCCATGTTTTTATCGGTTGTTAATGTGCTTGTGCTTTTGTCATCTTCAACGTCTTCACGGCCATCTTGGAAACTCTTATACCACTTGTAAACTCTTGTTTTACTTATAGCAGACTCACTATAGGCCTTTGTTAACATTTCACAGAATTTATTTCATTTTTTAAGCAAAATTGTATACAAATTCTTTAATCCATTTCTTTTAACGAACAAAAGTAAACAATGAAAACAAAGTTTTTATCATACTTCGGGGGCATGTATACCATTATAATAAAGAAAATTTTATGAACCCGCGAAATTTAACAATTTCCGTTATTTTCTTAACACACCTCGTAGTTTTATTAGACACAAGCGAAGCTTGCTAGCGTGTGTTTAACACAAACGAGTGTCTAGAGAAGTTTAAAAACGATACTATACTTTATCTACGACGAACACAAAGAATAATTTAAAGCTAATTTTATTTGTTAAACATTTGACATCTGTCAAACAGTCAAAAGATTTAACCTCATTTTCGCCAATTTATAATAAATCTTACTTTAGCCCGTGACTAAAACGCTATAAAGTCACAGCTTTAAAATTGTAAATTTTATAAATATTTAATTTAATTAATACATCGGAAACCTTTAATTTCGCAAAATAAAAGCCTGTTTGAAATACGGGAAGCGTATATTTACGCAGGGATTGAGGATTTATAAGGGAGTCACAAAAAACTTTCTTAAAATTTTGGGTAAAAATATATCGATTAGCATACAACATTTTAAGTTTATAGTACTATGTACTTTTCCTCGATTTTCAAACGATTTAAATACAAAAGAATATTGAACATAACCTAGAAACCATGCTAGAAACAGATATTCAAGGTCATCGAAGCGTTTAACTTGCTTTTAAATTTGCCTTCTCAAAAATTGTTTGAGAAACGTAGAAAAAATTGCAATAACAAACTCGTATGGGTATATTTTAATAATTTTTAGCTATGAATAAAACGCGTAAATAAATATATAAAATTTGTTCAAAAGCTTAAAATATATAAAAATATACAGAAATATTTAAAAAATATCTAAAAAAAGATTACCATCTCTAATGTTTTATATATTTTTAAATAAACATTTTTAAAGGATATCACACTCTTATATTTCTTTTAATATTATTTATTATTTATTTTAAAATAACAGCGTTTAAAAGTCCTTCATTTAAATTATTTTTAATGTCGTCTGAAGGAAATTAATTTAAATATTACCTCATTCGTAAAGTATGTACTAAATGCTAATTACCTTATAGTGTCCCAATTCCGTGACTTGGCAGCTTAAAACAGCTTCCCTGCCTATTGCGACCGTGACATTTTTTATCGGGCCAATAAAACTTGGAGTTTCCATTGGGAACTTCATTATTGGGGCACTTGAACCACCTACACCACTTGATTCATCCACTGGAAAGAAGAAAAAACAAATTCAATTAAATGGTATCTTTGTTTCATTGCCTGCAAAAAGGTTTTGTTAAAGACCCATTTTAATTTATATCGTCGACTTAATTGTACGTCCTTATTTATGTTGAAAAGTTTTGCAAAATTATTTGTACAACTAGGAGAAATTTTGGTTCTAGAGGAAACTTAATCAGTGTTAAATAAAACTTCTCATATTAACTGTCTTATTTGCACTAGCATACTTTAAACTCTTTGGTGTAATATTAATTTCCATTGACTTTAAAACTAAAGCTCGGTTTGTTATGTTAACGTAACTTTCTACCAGGCGATAATAAAGTCGATATCAAGGTATTTTAATTAAAACTTTGTTTTAAAACTAACACTTTTACTTTGAAAGTCATGTGACAGACTTGGAACTTCTTTACACCAACTTCTCTTTGATGAGTTAAAACTTCAATATATAATTAAACAAAAATAGTTCTTGTAGTCGTTTTATGAACAAAATTTAAATTAACTATATACATATTTACTTAGTGGAGCCATCTATATTAAAATACCTACTATCAACTATACACTTCAAAAAATTTTGCCCGTGTAAATTTTTTAGTGTAAAATATTAGAGTTGATTTGTAAGTGTAAAAGTTACACTACAAAATACACTAGGTAGCATTTAGTGCTTATTAACTTTATTAAACACATTTAAAGAATATGGGCATTATTCATTGGTACATTCACACTATTTATTATTAAAATAAATCAAAAGGGTAGAAAAACTTAATGCGAGTGTTTATTACCCCTTAATGTGTTAAATAGTAATAAAATGTACACTACAGTGCATGCCAATTTCTTTGTCTGTTTTGATGTTACTAAAAGCTCTTTTTTCTTTACACTACTAGTGCCCATTGTAACACAATTAACGTTAAATTACACCAATAGTGGCAAAATAGACTGAAAAAACTGGTAATGACCAAAATGCGTTTTAAAATGTTTGGTTGGTACCTATCTACCTACGCAGTGCATGTCCGGAGATACCGCGTTGTGGAAGTGTGACATTTTTTTTCAGTTCAGATTTTAATTACGGTGAATCCATAAGAAGACATAATTTTTTGGTAAGTATTATACTTCCTTTTTCTTTAAGCCTTAATACTCAATAAGTACCAATATGTTAAAAGGATGTCCATACCCGACCTATATTATATATCAATAATTTACGGCAGTAGGTCGGGTACTTGTAACATTTATAATATAAATACATACACACTTCATTTACCTTTTATTTTCAAGCGTAATAGTTGTTATATTAACCTATACCTACATTTTTATTAATATTATGAAACATTTGTACACGTGTGGTAAATCCCCGACATACAGCCGCCTGACGCCTCTCTACCAATGGGATCACCCATTTTTTATAACAGAAAAATGGATTACTGATAAATTCTCAAGATAATTCATTGCTTACAAGTTTACAGCCAGTAAAACATTGCATTGATCTAAAACTTTTACGTTTTAAAGAACCATTTTGCTTAAACGAGCCATCCGACTCAAATATAACATTATATTTTAAAAGGCACCGATTTTGATAGTTGTCATAGATGTTCCAAATAAATGTTTCTCTTTATTAACTTTTCGTTTTATTCACTACCACCAGAGCTGCAACAAGTCAGTTTTAAAAAGAGTCAATTCTAAAATCAAAATGATTTAAATTCTAAGATAAAGTTCAAATGATTTAAGTATTAAGTCTTTGAATTAAATAATTTTCTTAAATTTCAAGTCAAGTCATTTTCGCAAATTATTAAATCAATATAAAGTGATTTAAGTCATTTTATGACTTAATTCCTTTAGTAAGTCGTTTTTATGACTTAAGTCTATATTTTTTATTTAAATCGTGATCTAAGAGTTAAGTCAATAAAATGACTTGAATCAAAAATTGTTTTAAATCAAAATAATTACAATATAACGATTTTTTAAATGTTCATAATAATTTTATGGTATTAGGGGCAAAATTTGCCAAGTGTACCAGGTGAAAAAATTTTTGTCACAGATTTTGTTTAAACTTTACTTATTTGTTGTTCTTATAACAAAGAATCATAGCATAAAATTTTTTTGCTCTAGGATTGTTCATTCAAGAGTTATGGATTATTGAAATTTATCGATTTTTTACTTTTTGGTGAAATCGCTTTTTATTTAAAAATTCATAACTTCTGTTCATCTCTTTATTAAATATTTCAATTTAACCACCTTAAATGATTTTTTCCGTACTTTTCAATGGGCTATACCGTTTTTACAAAAAAATAAAAATTGCAATTTTTTTTTGAAATTTTGCAAAGTTTTGCATTTTTTGAAACAATGTGTATTTTTTAATTTTTTTTTAAAATAGCATAAAATCCAAGTTTATTATGTTACCTTTGAATAAAAAAAAAAATTGAGTGGGCCCGACATGTCGCGGTCTAGCCATCGAATAGCTACTACACTGCTGTATGCGTTTATACCTAGTAGATGCGAGTAAACGAATACAAAATGATAATTTAAAATGTAAAATTATGTTTGAGTAGTCAATGATGTATTTTAAATTTTTACACTGCCGCACGATATAGTTTTTTTTATTGTGTATTAGTCCTTCGGAGGGGACTTTAAGCCCGCGGTCCGTTCCTACCCCTAACCCGCACAAGCCATTCAGTTGGCTTATGGGACTTCTTACAAAGTAAGGGTGGAACTAAAAGAGCACTTTTGTATATAAACTGTATTTTTTTTTGCACAAATTGTTTAAGCATGGGTCTACATAGATTTCGCAAGGAGGGTCGATGATAAAAAATGTATTGTTATAACCGTAAAGGCGCCATTCAGCTTACAGGCAAGCCGTTACGGTTATAACTAAAGACCGGATTTTAAGCATGATGCTTATTGCTTAATTTTTTGCTTTTTTTAAGGTTTTATGCTTTTTTTTGATTTCGTGCTTATTTAAACTTTTTTCCATATTTTTATACATTTTTTTTAATTAATTGTTTCGACTTTTACTTGATGAAACTCCATGTTAATAATATGTTAATATAAACTACACTGTTTAATTCAAACTTCAAAATCTTACATATAGAAAACAAAAGTATGAAACTAAATTTATTAGAGTTTATGGAAATTAACAAATTAAAGGAAAAAAACTGATATTATTCTCAATGACCAAATTGATACCAATAATTCCCCGTTATTAAATTTATTTTAATATATTCAAATAGTTTAGTGTTATATAACTATAAAGATTACAGGGCATTCCCATAATTATTGTTCCTTTAATCTACCCCCAATATTGTATTTAATTTAAATTTGACTTGTGTAGTGCTATGGTTAAATCGGATATTCCATTAAATAAATTACAGAATAGCTCTTTTAGACAATTTCTACAGAAATATTGCAAAAAAAAACATTCCAGATGAAAGTACTCTTCGTAAAAATTATGTTTCTCCAGTTTATGACGAAACAATGCAGCAAATTAAAAAGAAGATAGCAAATAATTATATATGGTTTGCTGTAGATGAAACAACTGACACATGTGGAAGATATATTGCCAACTTAATTATAGGAGTCTTAAATGAAGATATCGTCACAGAAGGATTTTTAATAAGTTCCAAAGAATTAACAAAAACGAATAATAACACTGTTTCTAGATTTGTTCTTGAGGAATTAAACAAGTTTTTTTGCCCGAGGTGGTTCCGAATGAAAAAATTCTATTGATGCTTTCGGATGCTGCAGCATACATGATAAAAGCTGCATCAAATTTAAAGGTTTTTTACTATAATTTAATACATTGTACCTGCTTAGCTCATGGGCTTAACCGCATAGCAGAAACTATAAGATTGCAGTATCCGTTGGTCAACACATTAATAAAAAATGGCAAAAAAATATTCATAAAAGCTCCATTGAGAGTACAATTTTTTAAAGAAAGATTGCCTGATGTTCCATTACCTCCAGAACCAATTGTAACAAGATGGGGAACTTGGCTAGATGCTGCCATGTACTATGCCGATAATTTTACAGAATTTAATAGATTGTTACTTGAATTTGAAGGCACAGAAAGCAAAGCAGTTCAAGAATGTCAGGAAATTGTAAAAATACCTGAACTTACACACAATTTAGCTTTTATTAAAAGTCATTTTAAATTTGTAAGTCAGAGTATTCAGCTATTGGAAAAACAACAGCTACCTTTATTGGAATCCGTCAATGTTATTAAAAGTTTTGAAGCTGCAGTAAATACTATTCCAGGATCTATTGGTCAAACAATTAAAGAAAAATTGGTCCAGACTCTCTCGAAAAATTCAGGGTTCCAAACATTGAAAAGAATATCTATTTTAATTAGTGGGCAAGATTCCGATTTTGAAATGGATCCAGCCATTATCCCGAAATTTAAATATGCACCAATAACCAGTGTGGATGTGGAGCGAAGTTTTTCTGAATACAAAAACATTTTAACAGACAGAAGACATAATTTTACTATAGAAAATTTGGAGAAACATCTAGTTATACATTTCTTTAGGTCTTAATAATAGATATAATGTAAAAATAATAAAATGTATCATTTAAATAATAAACACCAATATTAAGATTATTACAACTTTTTTGCCTCTATATATTAATTATTTTTAATTAACTTGCTTATTTGGTGCTTTTTTGGCAAATTTCATGCTTTTTAAGAGCTTTTTATTTAATATTTTGATACTTTTTTAAGCACTTTTTTTTTTAAATTGTGCTTATTTATCCGGTCTCTAGTTATAACAATAATGTAGACCCATGCTTAAACAATTTGTGCAAAAAAATACAGTTAAAAAACTATATCGTGCGGCAGTGTAAATATTTAAAATACATCATTGACTACTCAAACATAATTTTACATTTTAAATTATCATTTTGTATTCGTTTACTCGCATCCACTAGGTATAAACGCATACGGCAGTGTAGTAG